CCCAATTACGAATACAAAGGGATACAAAAAAAAGTTGCCAGAGAAAGAAAATATATCCGAAACTGCAGAAGAGAGAATAACGAGAACGAAAGGAGGGAGAAGAGAGGGAGAACGCATAGAGCATCGTTGCGAAAAGATATCTACTTCCTCTTCCATGTTAGAATAAGGATTCTTGGTCTTCTGAATAAGCCGCTGTCTAAAGCCTAGTTTCATTATCTAATTTCTAAAATACAAAGTATTAGGTATAAAGTAGAAAAGAGTGAAACATTTAAAGACAATTTGTATGTAGTGTAGCAGATGTTTTGATATTACATTGATATGAAAATGATATGATAATCCGTATTTCTCTACTGGAAACGTGTTCTTTACACATTACGTTGAGCAGAACTTGGCATCTGATGTGTAAGTTTTTGTTCTGAGACAGATGTATACATACCTCGTGAGATATCGGTCTGTCTAACGTGTTATGTTTACATGACTAACTATAAGGGATACGACAGGGGGTATCCTGCACACAGACACACACACACACACACGAAAGTGCAGATACTCGCGCATATACACATGCATACACGTAAAAGAATAATAGTAATGATAATATTAATAATTACACACACACACACACTGAAGCACGCACATACACACATACATACATTGAACACACAGACACCCTCATGCTGTAATGTGTATACCCTTTGTTTCATTCCATTCCAGGATGAACCAATGAAGGGTTTGAGAATGATTGTCATTGAGCGACTGAACTGCCCAGGAATGACTGTGATTGAACGACTGAAGTGCTCGAGAAAGATTGTGATTGAGACAACGAGTAATATCTCGGGAGTGATTGTGATTCTTCTGTGTGATGCAGGGGTAGCGGTCTCGTCTAACAAGCTTACAGTCTTGCTAACCTGTGTTTCATTCACACACACACACACACACATATACACACACATACACACACACATACACACACACACACATACACACATTTGCATATGTGTGTGTGTATATATATATATATATATATATATATATATATATATATATATATATATATATATATATAGAAACACATATGTGTATTATATATACATATATGTATGTATGTATGTATTTATATCTATATATCTATTTCTATAGTATATAGATATATATAAATATAGACAGATAAATATAGAGATAGATAGATAGATAGATAGATAGATATATAGATATAGATATAGATAGATGGATAGATAGATAAATAAATAGAAAGAAAGAGAAAGAGAGAGAGAGAGAGAGAGAGAGAGAGAGAGAGAGAGAGAGAGAGAGAGAGAAAGAATAGTTAGATAGACCTAACTGGGCGGTACAGCCCCCTGAGGACAGTAGAAAGACCTGGTGCTGGGACAGTGAGGCAGAGGGAAGTCGGGGTGTTACGGTGGCCAAAAGATGGCATTAAAATAGGTAAAAAATATATTCTTAAATATATTATTTTTTACTTCTTAATATGTTCTTAAATATATTCTTTTTTACTTCTTAATATATTCTTAAATATATTCTTTTTTACTTCTTTTCAGCGAGTTTCAGCCTGATGTTGAGAAGCGTATATCCCTGCCCCAAGCGCATTCACCCAATTCACAATTACTGAGGACAATGAGCAATGTTACTATGGTTACTGGTATGAGGTTGATTTACCCTTCCATGTTGCTGGCACAGCCAAATAAATTGGCTTACTGAATTAGGTTTTATTGTGAAATACATGTTTGTAGTTTTCAATTTAAAATAGACCAAAATTAAAAAAAAAAACATTCGTTCGCAAGTTTGTATGAAGGAGGGGGGGTGGGCGCTAGGAATCCACTAGGAAGCCAAGGGGGCGCCAGTCTGGAAAAATCTGGGAACCACTGATCTAGACTAATGGATATGTAACTATAAGACAGTTAGCCAAGGTAGTAAATAAAGGACTAAAGCCTTAACTCCATTTACCTGCTAGGATGTACATGACACCTGTTATGAGAACGGCTGAAATCTGCCTTTTTATGATCCCAAAAGTGCCGACCACAGCCGACGCGCCCAAGAGAATACAGCACACCAGAGCACACGAGATACTCAGGTTCTGCATCCCTGAAATAAAATAATGATTGATAAAAACGCACTGAAATAAATAGAACGTCGGAATATCGAAAATAGTGTTGCCATATCGAAAAAAGGGACTCTTGATGACTAAATTGCTTTCATTCATCCAATCAATCAGAGTAATTCCCATTAATCTGTTCTCGCTGATTTTTTTTAGTTTCCACAACCATCTTGCTATTGCAGCGGCGATGACGTAATAACTTTCACGACGACAGACAACAGACGTCGCTAACAACACAGGATATGAACTTTTAACAATAATCCTGCTGTGAATACTTACTCTGAACCCAGTCATTTTTCTCCCCGCTGGCGGCGAAGTGGGGAGACAGGTAATTGATACAGCCGCTGAGTGGGAAGCCCAGGTCTTGGAGTTCGTTCTGCTCTTGCACTGAGGGTCAGAAACACAACGAGGTCAATTTAGTGCTGTTATGTTGTGTGTGTGTGTGTTGTGTGGTGTTTGTTGTTTATGTGTGCGTGTGTGTGTGTGTGTGCTGTGTGGTGTTTGTTGTTTGTATGTGTGTGTGTGTGTGTGCGTGTGTGTATGTGTGTGTGTGTGTGTGTGTGTGTGTGTGTGTGTGTGTGTGTGTGTGTGTGTGTGTGTGTGTGTGTGTTGTGTGGTGTTTGTTGTTTATGTGTGCGTGTGTGTGTGTGTGCTGTGTGGTGTTTGTTGTTTGTATGTGTGTGTGTGTGTGTGCGTGTGTGTATGTGTGTGTGTGTGTGTGTGTGTGTGTGTGTGTGTGTGTGTGTGTGTGTGTGTGTGTGTGTGTGTGTGTGTGTGTGTGTGTGAGAGAGAGAGTGTGTGAGTGTGTGTTTTATTTTAAAAATATTGAAATAGCTCATTTCACAACATTCACATCATACAGCAAAGATAAATCCTTATCAGTATATTGACATAAAATGTGAGAATAAAAAAAATCAAAGTGTTTTCCAATGCAAATGCCCTTGAATCTTCCAAGACTTTAAAACAAAACCTTTGACAGACGGAAATTTATAGCAAGAAAAGAATAAGAAACCCGCCAGTATCGAGGTCAGGAGGTCGCCTTGTCTGGCCCGCTGTCTAGGTCATCCAAGGTCACCAGAACCCAATAAAATTGCAAGAGAAACTACACGTTATTATTCTATTTTCGTTTTATCACTTTTTTATTGTTTGGTATTTCATGATATCCAATTTCATGTGGACATAAAGATACAGTACTGTAAAATGATGATACCATTGGTAATGATGTGATGATAATGATAAAGATAAGTATTAATGGTAATAGCAATGTTAATAACAATCATAATGATGACAAAGTAAAGCTAAGAACTATACTATTACTACTAATAACAGTAATAACTTTCATGATAATAATTATAATGGTAATGCTGAAAATAGTAAAGACAAATTTGATAATTGTAATCAGCACTACTGTATTGGTTATAAAAATAACGACTGTGATAGTGACAATATAAAGATGATAATAATAATGATAATAGTAATAATAAAGAAATAACAACAATAATAATAGCAATGATATTAATATCGATAACAAGAACAACAACAAAAATAACAATAACAAAACAACAACAATGACGACAACAACAACAGCAATAATAGTGATGATGATGATGATAACAATTATAATAACAATAATAAAACTTATAATGCTTATAATAAAACAATACTATTACTATTCCTACTACTACTGCTGCTACTAGTAAATAAAATAGTAATAATTATGCTAATAATAATGAAAACAATACTGATGATGCTAATGAAGATAATGATGATGATAATAAAGAAGAAGATGATGATGATGACGATAATGGAAATGATGATAATGATGATGATGATAATGAAGATGATGGTGATGATGATGATGATGACGAAGATGATGATGATAGTAACGTAAATAATGATCCTATAATGATGGTAGTGGTAAACATAATGACAATTAGAGTAAAAACAATAACAACAATAACTTTAATGATGACAGCTACAGTAACTACAACAGAGACGATGATACTACTATTTTTAATAATAATAGCTATATTATTGATAATAATAGTAATAATATTGACGATGGCGATAATGGTGATGTTGATTGATGATGATGATGATGATGATGATGGTAATGATGATGATTGATGATATGATTGATGATGATGATGATGATGATGATGATGATGATGATGATGATGATGATGACGATAACGATGACGATGATGATGTTGATGGTGATGATGATTAATGATGATGATGATGATGATGATGATGATGACGATGACGATGACGATGATGATGTTGATGGTGATGATGATTATAATGCTGCTGTTGCTGATGGTACTACTGCTGCTGTACTACTACTACTTTGATAATGATAATACCAGTAATAATAATAATGCTGATGGTGATGGTGATGGTGATGATGATAATGATGATAATAATGATGATGATTATAATAATAATAATAAGGATGATGATGAGGATAATGACAATAATGATGATGATAATAATGATGATGATGATGACGATAATGACAATAATGATAAGGATGATGAAAATAATGATGATGATAATAATGATGATGACGATGACGAAGTGATGTTAACAATAAAAATAATCATAATGACAACAGCATTGACAATGACAAAGATGACAATAACAACACCAGTAATAATAACAACAATGAAAATAACAAACGATAATAATAACACCAATACAAAGAAAGATAACAAAAGTATCACCCAAAACAAACAAACAAACAAAACAAAAACATCAACACCAGCAACAAAAAACAAGAAAATCCAAACGTCAAACTCCATCAATAAAATGCACCAGACCAGCCGACTCGGGACAGAGACGCATAAGAAGGGTTGTTCTGCTCAGTGTTTCCCCAAGTTTATGGCCTCGTGATGATGACGATGATGGTGATTGATGGTGATGGTGATTGTTGATGATGTTGGTGGTTAATGGTGATTGATGATGGTAGTTGATTATGATATGGTGATTGATGGTAATTGTTGATGCTGTTTGATGGTGATTGACGATGGTAGTTGATTATGATATGGTGATTGATGGTAATTGTTGATGCTGTTTGATGGTGATTGATTATGATATGGTGATTGTTGATGTTTGATGGTGAATAATTATGATATGGTGATTGTTGATTGATTATTTGGTGATTGATGGTGGTTGATTATGATATGGTGATTGATTAGATGGTGATTGATAATGATTGATTATGATGTGGTCATTGATGGTGGTTGTTGATGATGTTTGATGGTGATTGGTTATATGGTGATTGATGGTGGTTGATTAAGACATGGTGATTGATTATGATATGATGATTTGTGGTGATTGTTGATTCTGTTTGATAGTGATTGATTATGATATGATGATTGATGGTGATTGTTGATTCTGTTTGATGGTGATTGTTAATGATGATTGATGGTGGTGATTGATGATGATGGTGACTGATGATGATTGATGGTGATTGATGGTGACTGATGATGGTGATTAATGGTTATTGATGATGGTGGTGACTGATGACGATTGATAGTGATTGATAGTGATTGATGATGGTGATTAATGGTGATTGATGATGGTGATTAATGGTGATTGATGATGACGATTAGTGATGATGATTAATGGTGATTGATGATGATGATTGATGGTGGTTAGTGATGATTGATGTTGATTGATGCTGACTGATGGTGACTGATGACGATTGATGATGCTGATGATGATGCTGATGATAATAACATAAATGATAACAATATAATAATGGTGATGGTGATGATGGTGATTGAAGATTGATGGTGATGGTGATTCATGATAATGATGGTGAAGATAAAGATGAAGATGACGATAACGATACAAGTACTAATATAAATGATAATAAAATTATAACGGTAATGATAATTATAATGATAATAATAGCAAAGCCAATAACAAAAAATAACGATAATGATGACGACAACAGCAACATAGCTAACTGGACACTGATCACCCCTTCACCCATATGATAATTAAAAAATCTAAAACGAAGGAGAAACGTCCAGAAGGAATCGATCAAGAGCGAACGATTTTTTTTTCTTTTTTTAACGTTAATCGGATGAAAGATTAATGGTTGTGATATTCCGCGAGTGTTCGGGAAAGGATATAAGGTTTGATATCAAAGTGGTAGTATCAGGGTGAGAGAGAGAGAGAAAGAGAGAGAGAGAGAGAGAGAGAGAGAGAGAGAGAGAGAGAGAGAGAGAGAGAGAGAGAGAGAGAGAGAGAAGAGAGAGAGGAGAGAGAGAGAGAGAGAGAGAGAGAGAGAGAGAGAGAGAGAAGAGAGAGAGAGAGAGAGAGAGAGAGAGAGAGAGAGAGAGAGAGAGAGAGAGAGAGAGAGAGAGAGAGAGAGAGAGAGAGAGAGAGAGAGAGAGAGAGAGAGAGCAGAGAGAGAGAGAGAGAGAGAGAGAGAGAGAGAGAGAGAGAGAGAGAGAGAGAGAGAGAGAGAGAGAGAGAGAGAGAGAGAGAGAGAGAGAGAGAGAGAGAGAGAGAGAGAGAGAGAGAGAGAGAGAGAGATAGAGAGAGAGAGAGAGAGAGAGAGAGAGAGAGAGAGAGAGAGAGAGAGAGAGAGAGAGAGAGAGAGAGAGAGAGAGAGAGAGAGAGAGAGAGAGAGAGAGAGAGAGAGAGAGAGAGAGAGAGAGAGAGAGAGAGAGAGAGAGAGAGAGAGAGAGAGAGAGAGAGAGCAAGAGAGAGAGCAAGAGATAGAGAGAGAACAAAAGAGAGAGAAAGAGAGAGAGAGAGAAAGAATCACGGGCATGATAAACCCAGCTATTTATACCTGCTGTGAGCGAACCTTTATTCAACATTTTGATGCACGATTTTTCTGTTTATAACCTGGTTTCCTAAACAAAGAATCACATTTAGATATTCAGGAGGAGTGCAATCTTAACGGTTTGGTGATATTTTTATTGATAAATTACGTATATATCCAATACATATATACACGTGTAAAAAGGGGGGGGATACTCATGAGATCAGATATTTTCTCATACCCAAAAGAAGAAGAATACTCATTAAGTTCACCCATTAAGAAGAACAACGTCCTTTCTCCCTCTCCATACAAATCGGACGGACGCACGCACGTACGCACAGCAATCACGATATCCTAAGTTATCTGAGCCTTAATTACATAATTGCCGTTCAGGATTTAGTTGGTTTCGGTCACGCCACTGGAAGGGGAGACCCATTTCCTCTTTTAGATTCTGTTACGTCACGCATATGCGCAACTACACCCACACTCACACACGCACCCACCTACACGCGCACAATATAAACACACAGGCACATATATACAGACACACGGGTAATAAAACGTACACAAAGTAAAGTTGTAACAAATATTTACGCAGCCC